TTGTTTGGAGAATTGTGATTTGATACTGCATCAATATCTTTCTGAGTGGCGTTTTTCATTTTCCTCCCACTGTAACTTTTTAAGCCTTAGGAGAATTAGTTGAAAAGCCAGGTCTTTTGGTGGATGTTAACATTAAGCCCTCTACTTTGTCACTTGGAATCATAAATCCCAGAAAACAGCTCCTAATTCCATTTCATGTTGTTTTCTTAGAAAATGATTGACAGGTTCCTTTTATTTTTTTTAAGCCTCGGCACACCTCCTGCACTTGCTGACTTTCTGGCAGTCATTTACAGAGCTCTGCTCCTCAAAGGCGTCAGGTGTGTGTTGATTGCCCGGCCTTCTTCTCCAATTAGACTGGTTCATCCAGCGTCTCTGAACACACACACACACACACACAATGCTGTTACTATCAGGTGACACTGCCCACTGAATTGAAATCTGCTTATCCTGCAAGCATTGAATCAAGCAAGATCATCCCATGAACCTTCCCAGAATTTCTCCTAATTTGGATTTTTCAGCATCCATCACAACTGAAGTCTACAGAGTAGCGCACTTAGACCCAGGCAAGATGGGCCCCTGGATTTTAGGCTTTAGAGCTCAGATCTGACTCCTTTTGGCCATGGCCTTCCCTTAGGACAAAAAGGTCCATAGACTTAAATGATATGCCTGCCTGGAGCCTGTACCCTCCCTTCTAGACCAGAATCCCCTGCCCCAATGGCCACATAGTCTCTCTCAGGGATTTCGTGCTTCTTACTTGGGTCCATCCCTCTGAACAGACAATATCACAAGTGCATGATCCTCCAAGGCCCAAGGCCAAGGGTCAGGTATCCAGATGTGTGGATCGAGGTATTCAGGGACATTCACATGTCCCTCTAAGATTTCGGTCTTGGGGGCAATGGGAAGGAGGAGCAGGCAGTGGCCAGGGCCAGCTTTTCCAGCTCTGCCATATTGAGTCTTCCTGATTTTAGCTTTAGTCCCCAGCATAACACTCAGGCTATTTAGCACATTCTCCAGCTGAATTTACCAGTGTTCATGGGCACGCTGAGTTAGAAATAGATTTCATTTTAAATTAACACAGAAACATAGCAGAAAGAGAAAGGGTTAATAAGATTAAAAATAAAGGAGGTAATAAGCAGTATGAGCTGCATTCTTGAGAGAGGATTTCATGTAACCCCCTAACAATTATGTGGAGTTTCGTTGTCTCCCTTTCAAAATTAGGAAACTAAGGCTGAAAAAGAGCTGGCTGGGTTTTGCCATGGTCTCACAGGAGGGGACAGCATCTTCTTGACACCACAGCCCAACCTCTCTTCACTGAAACTTCCCAGGTTCTAGCTCAGACATCTCCTAGGATGTCCATGTCAAACACGCTTCAGAGAGTAACCAGCAGACAAGAGTTTCCCATGTGTGTGGGTTGTGGTTAGCAACTGGATAATTGGTTCTAAAAAGTTCATTTTGCAAAAGCTGATGCTCACAGGCTGGAGAGCAGATTTAGAAGATCTGTGATAGCATAAAGGGGGCTCTTCCTGTCTTGGAATCAGCTAGTTAGTTATTGAAGGTGGTATATTCTAACTCTGGAGAGTTGGAAGATTGAGAGTTTCAAAAACCTTTGCAGATGTTGACCTTGCAGAGCTGAGAAAGTGTCAGGTTTGTTTTTTTTTTTTTTTTTCCTTGCAAATAATGCAACTTTCCTTATCTACCATGGAACAGATCTTAATAGAGGACAGACGTTTGTGGCATGAGGTTAGTGAATATTAAACTAAACAATGTATGTCCCTTGGGTGTGTGGGATTTCTGAAGAAGAGACTTTATGCACATATTTAAGAGTAGCAGGAAATTATAGAGCAGCCTCCTCCACCTGAGGGGACTGAATCCCAGAGGGAGCTGGTGATTTAGCCAAGAGAATGAGTAAGGGCTAGAAGGGCAGGTCTCTTTCCACTCCTCCAGGGTGCTTCTTCTATAGCCTAAAGTCCAGCTGATGGCTGACTAAGCCATGTGTGTACATATTTTTTAAATAATGCTAAAGTCTAATCAAATGTGGTAGGTGTGGATACTATACCTATAGATGAGGGTGTGAGGAGACTATGTACAAAAGAAAAGAATATTTAACTATTAGGTCTTCAATGACAAATGTTCCCCATCCTGAGCCTTCCAGGAGCATTACTCTGAGTCATTCAAGATTGATTGCTATAAGAGCTTTCAAACCCTTATCTCACTAGGAAAAGGTCTTAATGTTGATAAATTTAAGTACATACCACTGCTTTGTTGTTAGGTTTATGGGAACCTTGTAAATACTTTAAGAATGCTTTGCTTTGTGTGAATCCACAAAAATGAAAGCATATTACCTAGGAGGGAGGAATTGAAGTAGGAAAAAATCATTTCTTTTCAATATTCTGAAATACACGTGGATTCATTCAACCATAAGGTAAACGGAGCATGGAATTTATCAGGAAAAAAAAGTCAAAGATTGGTTGTGCAGCTTTTCATATTTCAGATATTAATGAATCAAAGAGAAGTAAAATTTCTATCTATCTAAAGATATTAGATGACTGATATTTAAGAACATTTCTATATTCTCACTTTATTTTACATTCCTGGAAATGTAGTTTTTCTATACTTTTTATTGGTACATTATAGTTGTACATACTGGTGGGATTGTTATGTATTGGTTCTCAACCCTTCTCCTGCCCCTGGTCCCTTTATTGTACTGATCTCCCTTTGATTTTCATGAAATGCGGCCCCCCCCCCCGCTTCCTTTTCCTTTTTCCTATCTAGCTTCCACATATGAGAGAAAACATACAGCCCTTGACTTTCTGAGTTTGAGCTTATTTTGCTGAACATAATGTTCTCAAGTTCTAACCATTTTCCTGCAAATGACATCATTTCATTCTTCTTTATATACCATGTTTTCTATCTATTCATCTGCTGACAAACACCTAGGTTGGTCCCATAGTTTGTCTATTATGAATTTTGCTGCTGTAAACACTGGCATGCATTTATCACTGCAGTATGATGATTTTAACTCTTTAGGGGAGTGGTCTAGCTGGGTCATATGGTGGTTCCCTGCCTAGTCTTTTGAAAACTCTTCACACTGATTTCCATAGCTCTCTTAATTAATTTACAATCTCATCAACAGTGTAAAAGTATTCCTCTTTCTCCACATCCTCTCCAGCATTTACTATTATTTGTATTTTTTATTTTTATTTGTTCTTTCTAGTAATATATGATAGTAGAATCCATTTTGATAGATTTATACAAGCATAGAATATATCTTATTCCAATTAGGAACACAGCCTTGTTGGGATGATGCTGAGACATGACTGCCATTCTGACTGGAGAGTAAATCTCAGTGTATATGGCTTTTACTTGGCATTTCCCTAATTGCTAAAGATGTTGAGCGTTTTTTCATATATTTGTTGGCCATTTGTATTTCT